CTCTCTTTCTCTTGGTGATATACAACCGTCTACGAACTCCCGGGCCCTTTTATTTTCTCCGGCCGGATAAATAGAGGCGGGCATAGTATTGAAGACCTCATCCTCGCGTCCTGGCAAGCCTGCAAAACACGAGGGTGTATATGATCATCCTTGATCATAATCAAAGAGAAAATGCCTTAACTTATTGGTGCCAGCTACGGGTCAACAAAGGGCTTACCATGGTTTTTCGCCTCTCCCACCGAGTCTTGTGAATTTCCTTCCAAGAATTTCGCTGCAACGAATTATGGCCGCTGGCCCTATCTATTGTTTACCCAGTCCCGACAGATCTGATGGCAGCTGGACGGATTTGGGATCACCGCACTGCACAAAGAGAAAGGGTGGTTTCAGGAAGAGTTGAGGAAAAATCACACTCTAATAAACCCCGAAGACAAAAAACCACTGAAACAGGTACAACGAACCAACAAACCTGCGTCACATTACGTTGGTTGAGGTTTCCACCGTCGTCGGAGGAGAATGGAATTGGCGAGGATCACGAGCCGGAAGTCAGGAATCGGGACTTCTTGATACCGGAAAACCTGTCAATCCAGCCTCGATCTTTGTCTTCATCGATGCTGGGAAGAATGGGGTTTGCTAGCCCGGGGGCCAGATAGTTTTATTAATCCCTTGGTTGTGGTGTGTGCGTCCTTCGACAATATTTCGAGCGGCTCGATATAATCGCATGAGAAGATGGATCGAGGGTAGCAGTGGAAGATCAGCTCTCTCGAGGCTCGTCTCTGACAGAAATAACCGAAAGAGATATTACGATGCCGCCAGCATCCGAGGGTGGACCTGACCGTAAGGCACCTCGTACGCCGGCAGCACTCACTATAATGGGTTTCTACAGGGGCCTAAGGTGAGGAGATCGTATATTACACTAAGATAGCCTCTTCAAGTCGTGAGGTCAGTGATCGAGCTCGGTCACGGGTAGGGGCGAGCTAGGGGTTTCTGTTCCTTTGCCCATGCTACATTCAG